ACACCCCCCGCACGCCCCCCCCAGCACAGTGTTTACTTCCTCTGTAAGTTCTGGGACATTCAGTACTAAGGAGCATGATACGCTTGCATAAACACCCCAGCCAGAAATATCTCTCAAGCCTATCTTTCCTTTCCCGTCTTGGAAAGTGATTAATCGACTGCACACATTTTGTTCTTTGATTGCAGGGCATTATTCTGTAATCATTTACAGTTTTGCAGAGCCATAGCAAATGGAGTATTTCTGTCATGTAGCCGGCACTGTCGGCTGAAGCTTTAGCTGTGTAACATGGAGGGAGCACAACTGTGCAGCTCTGTGTTGTGTTAAAATTGTTTCCTTTTAGGTTGTGTGCTTCCCGTGCGTTAAAAAATCCCAATGTACATGTTTAAAGCGCAGGTAAGTGCCTGCGCAGCAATACTTGTTGGGGGCTGGTTTGTGAGTTTTAGCAGCGGTGTCGGTGCTGCAGCACGCTGGCTGCCAGCTGAGGCTTTCCTATGCGTTTGTGTAGGGCGGGGGAGTTTAAATAACTTTTGTTTCCCATGCTGTGCATCCTGCCTTGAAGCCTACACTGGTTAGAAATTGGCGACCTGTGTAGATACAAGAACCTGTATGGATCACCTAGTGTCTGAGGAAACGAGAAAAGTGAAGAGGTTGAAAGTGAATCAGAAAATCTTGTCCTGTCTGTTCTGCATCAAGGCTTTTCCATGTGCCCTTTGTGGGTTTTGTTTGTTTTCTATGTTTTCCAGTGTGTGAGGAAAGGAGCTAGGAGAGGTAACAACCTGGAGTTAACATGCCACAGGTTGAAATTAGGCTATCGAGCAGAGTTTTCTTCGATGCAAGTGTCCAAACTGTAAACCACCTCTTCTTTCAGTTAAAAGGTGTGAAGAGTAGGTAGAAAAAATTCAAAGAAAACCATATGACTTTGGGTTCTAACATGTAAGTAAGTTTATTTTTGCAATACATGTGCACATTTCTCTCCTATAATGAAAGAGGTTTTACTAGACCTGAAGTCAGTGTGTCTGGACCAGTCGCCTGCAATTGCTAAGCTCAGTCCCTGATAGCAGACAAGCAGTGAGCGTCTTGTTCCAAAGGGTGGGCAGAGATCTCGATGGGTAGTCCCACACACCATGTTGGACAAAACACTTTTCTGTCAACTTAAGACAAACCAAAGCCTTGTAGTTAAAATACAGAAGCCGCAACACTAGTGCGCTGCGTGCGAAGACCAGGGGAACCTGAGGATGTTGCAGGTGCAGACTGTCTGTTAAATGAGATGTCCAGAGGATCCCATGCCAGAAGTCAGTACAAAAAAAAGTCTTCCAACAGCCTTCCCTGTCAGTCTGATCTTGAGGGCAGGGCAAGGCAAAGGAGGGGGGTTTCCTCTGACTATGAATCCAGCAGTTGCTTTAAATGGGCAGGTGTCAGAAAGGTAGGCTGCTCTGCCCTGGGGACCTGAGAGAGCCGGGTCAGGAGGAGCACCAGCCTCACATCTCCAACCATGGGCTTTGGAGTAGGGAGAACAGGCAGCACAGACAAGTAGTGACATGGTATTTTTCTTTTAACCCCTGATTTACTGACGTATAGCGGTATCCAGAGCACAAATTTCATCCATTTCATCCTAGAAGTGCAAATTTCTGTCAAGTCTTCATGCAAATTCCTTAATTATAAATAAAGGAGAACTTAAAAGCAAGGAGAAGGAAGACTAAGACTCTTGTGAAACAACAGCTATTTAGGAAAACTACCAAACTGTGTAAGGAAGCAACAGGTTCAGAGCGTATGTGTTGATGGAGGTATCCAACTTGCTTGGTTGGGCTCAACCGTAGGATTAAGGTAGGTGCCCTGTGGTGGTTGGAGGGGAACATGCCACTCGAGATTGTGAATTTGCACCATCCCCACTCCAGTGGGACAAGGCCCTGTTTAGATTGTGTTTGAGGAAGGGGCAGGAAGGGGCAAAAACACGTTTCTGTGGTTGTGAATTAGTGGCAATGGCAAGAATCTTAGCAATAGGCAACTTTTCTTAGCGTCTGAGAAAGACTAAAAGTACACACACCAGTGCTAGCCACTTCCCATGCTCCGCGTTCCACTGAAACCAAACAGAGCTGCTGCTGCTGGTCTCCCAATACGACTTCAGTCGTGCAGCTGATTTTAAGCTCTGGTAAATGAGCGGAAGCAACTCCTCGCAGGAGGTAGAGCAGAGCATGGTGCTGCCGAAATGCAGCCTTGCAGCACTGGTGCCCATGGTCGGGACCTGCTGGGGTGGATTGTGTCTCAACTTCAGGAACTGAATCATTCGTATCCATTGCCCTGCGGTGGGAGCTTCCTTTCGCTGTGTTTGGACATGTGCCATGCGATCATGGAGTCTGGGTTCAGCTTCGCGCACCCTATATCTCTTATCGCCTCAGAATGGTTTGTAACAGTTGTGTTTGTTTTCCCTTAACAGCCAGAGACGAACCTCGTTAATCTCCGTTGTTTATGTCACTGTTCATACAGAGTACAACTGCCCACAGAGATTTCTGGGACATACTGGATTCAGTACAAAGGAGCTTAACGCTAAAAAGTTGAGGCCCCATCCCATCAGGCAGAAAGGGGCCTTTGCCTCAGTGTGGGTTAATTATTATTTGTTAATAGCTGGCTGAGTAGGCACGATGATCATGGACAAGGCATGAGGCTGCTCAACTGTGTCCAGAGTAACATTTCTGAGAGGTAGGAGGGGGTTTTTCTTAGCCCTCCAGAAGTGTTGGAGCTAACGTCATGCTGAAGTTACGAATCATGCAAAAGCTTTGGGAGAAGAAGCTTTGGGCTTGAACGTATTCGATTATGGAAGAATACATGCACCGAGAGCAAGATCTGCTCGAGTGGAATGAGTACCTCTAAGGGAGGTGTTGGATAAGGACCAGGTGCTAGGAACATCCATCTGAACATCCCAACCGCTTGCTGGCTGAGTGCACTCGAGAGCTGCCGCTTGGAGCTCAGCTGAACACTTGATGTGGCTGGGGCGGTGGAGGTGTCTGTTCCTGTGCAAGGCCCCCTCTGCTCTGTCCCTGCGGTGTTCATACTTTGACCTCCACACTTGCCTTATGCAAAGGTGGATGGAAACAAGATGTCTTTGCGTGAGGAGGATCCTATGCCAAGGTGGACGGGTGAGTTTAGGAGGTGATGGTGTGGTTTTCAATGCAGAGGAGCCACTGGCTCCTTGTCATGCATCACGTCAGTGGAGAACCCCTGAACTGTGAAAGTGTCCTGGAAGAGTGGAAGAGCCTGTTAAATGGCACACAACCATTTTATCCTCTTCCAGCACAGCTAAAAAGCCTGTGTGGTGTTCTTCACCCAAGGAGTTTGCTTTTAGACAAGAGTAAGATCCACCACTGCTAAGTACAGCTGTTGTTTGGCTGGACAATTCTTGACCGTGATAGCTGCACTTGGGTCAGGTCTTTAGAGAGGACTTGTCCTATGCAAGCCCCAGTAAGATATGTAATAAGCCCAGCAGAGCTGGGAAGTGATGCTGGTGGTATCTGAGGGAACAGCAGATGACAGGCAGCTCCCCTCCACCACCCCCCCAGCCTACAGCTCACATTCAATCCTTTCTTTTCCCTAAACCATGAAGTGTTGGAGATCAAGTCCTGCTTGTTGGTCACCCACAGGGGAAACTGGACATTAAATTCTAAACTTCTAACTGTACTGACATTTTATTTCTTTATTTCATGCTAGAGGTCGGTCCTGGGCGCAGTCTTGAAAGCACCTCCTGTGCAACTTAGAACGGGGCCTGGAGAGAGGAAATGAAATCAGAAATGGAGAAAAGTTATTTTAATCATAAATAGCTGCGGTAGGAAGGTAGATGTTTATATATGCAGTAGTACAGTACCTACTGTGTGTATTTTAGGAGAACCTGAGAATAGCAGCTGCACTGAAATACTTGACAGCAAAGTCAAATATAGTTTAGGTAAAAAAAAAAAAAAAAAAAAAAAGAGAGAAGTTGCTGGGGAGGGTGGATTTGCAGCGTGAAGCCTGTCGGTGTTATCTCTGCCGCACGGCACAGAACAGCCTGTTACTCTGGCGCTTGTTTGCGAACGCACAGTTCCCGTAATGGGATACGTCCCGCTCCTATCAGCGTCGTATTGTGCCCGGGTGGATGCTCCCCCACCTCCCAAATTTCCCTGAGATCTGCAGGAAACTGACAGTTTTATTTCTCTGAAGGCTGCCTTTTCTGAAGTGTCCCTGGTTTTGCAGCCGATGGACCTGTTGGGCTGTGGATCTATAGAGCTCAGAAGCAGCGAAGCTGCAGGCACTAAAACCAGAGCTCTTGCTAACACGCTAAGGTCAAAAGGATCAAAACCTAAATTAAACTTGTCCCTGAAATTTGGCTCTGAATCACAAATTCAGGAAGTTGTACATGAAAATCGGTCTGGGCGCTGTTTCTTTCTTAAGAGTTCGTCAGCTAAAAATAATATCTTGCGCTATAGTTATAAATAATACGGGCTTTTTTTTTTCTTCCCCCATCTAATTAAATTGTTACTCTTGCCACAACGAAGGGAAAGGGAAAAGATAATAACATGAATCTGGTTGAACAAGTACGTAGCTTGCAGGTTTCAGCTAGAGTGTTTGCAGCTGCAGCCGATGCTGAACCTTACGCTAACGCATTTAATTGTCAAAATGAAAAGAGGGTGCTCTGGAGAGATCGGCACTGGGTTCTGTGTGTCTGTTGTTTGGGAAGCCCTCTTGAAAGCTCACCCAAAGTGGGTTTTTCCTATGCTGTCAAAATACAGAAGAAAGGCATTTTTATCTTATGATTATTTTTTTCTGAAGGAAACTGCAGTGTTTTTTGTAAAATCGTGGTTGACCCATACGATAAGATGTTTTGATGGACTCTGGTGTCTTCCTAAAATGACAAGCAGTGGCCACGGATAGCTCTGCCATTGTAAAAAGCAGTACTCAGCAGGTTTTTTGCAGGTAAATAGTGGATAAAGCTGGAAAAATGAACTTTCCTGCATTGTGATCACGGCACCGAGATGCTCTTTGAAAGCCGCATGGACAACCTGGCCGTGGCCGTCTGCCCGCTGGGCGGTAACGAGGGGCAGCAGCCTGGCGAGACGGTACTTATCACACCTATTGCTGCCTCTATGTTAGTGCACAGAAAAGTTTTGTTCGTTTTGCCGCTGTGGTTTGTCAGCGGCTGCCGGTGCCTTTTAGCATCGTTCAGGGTTTGCGGTGGATTGCGGGGGCCATCGGAGAGGCCATTTAATGCGGCGCGGCTGCTGGGAGAGCACCGATAATGGTCAGTGAAAGCAGTAATCCCAGAGGCCTAAGGGGATAACGACAGGCAATAACATGGCTGCCAATCTTTAAGCTTAATCATGACATCTTTCAGGTGGCGAGAGTGTTATTTTTCCCAAATGAGGCCATGACGGGGTGGGAGGGAAAAGAACGGTCCTAAAAAGCCAGGTACCGCGGTGAAGCTGGCCTGCGTGGGCGATGGAGCTGGGCACCGGCTCAGAGATTTATTGCGTTGAAATTTGCTGTCACTTAAAAAAAAAAAATAAATAAAAGGCACGTCGAGGCAGCTGCGTTATTTCACTGGCGGTGATGCAATGCCAGTGACACACCGGGACGGGAGGGACCAGCACATTCTGTGACAGCACGGCATGTACACGGTGTCAGCTGAGCAGCGCCCCGCCAGCCGACAGCTTCCACTAGTGCCGGCACTTCGTCTAGGGCTTAATTTTCAAGCCAATACTTATACGTAACTGCTGGAAGCATGTTTTTGGAAGTAACACTTAGTTACTGCACGTGCACAGTTTCCAAAACACCCCCTGTGCCCCTCCTGTTTGCTCTGCTTTAAGGGATTTAAGACTTTTTTTAAAAATTATTTTATTACTATGCAGACAAGGCATTTACTAATTTCTCGCTCACTTGTCAACGGCTCTGCAAGAGTGAGAACCTCACAGCCGTGCTCTGATAAGGTTGTAAACAGAAAGCAGAAATCCTCGCATTGATTTTAATGGTTTACTGCGTCGTCCTGAGGTCGTCTGCTGCTCTCTGAAAGCTAGAGATGACACAGGCAAAAAGAACACTGTAATATTGAAATAAAAGACCCGAAAAGAAGAAACTTAAGCATTTTTTTAAAGAAAAAAATGCAAAGGGGGTGAGGGAGAAAGCTGGTGAGTAAGTGCGTGTGTTTGTTTAAGGAATTGAATGGGTAGCAAATACTTCTCCATGTGTGTGGAAAATATGAGTTGGCTTTTGCAACAGCATTTTATGGGAAGAAAGATCAAGGGTTCAGGAGCTGAAATACTTATTCATAAAACATAGGGAGCAAAGACAAGCTACTTGTTGTACTTCTGCCCATTTGCTGTAAGTCCAATCTAGCTGAATCATTTCTAGGAATGGAGTGGGTAACTGGATTTCCAGCCTCTTCTCTGTCGTTGGCTTCACTCTTGCATGGCTGCTGCTGATTACTGTCGGTTTTACTGAGCTTTACATGGAGGGTATGTGCCTGTCCACTTGACTGCTAAAGCTTTTACCACCTTGGGGTCTAAGCACAATCCACTTGAAACTGGATTAAAGCAGCCAACTCGTTTTACGGAGGCTTTTTAACAGCTATCAAGCAGCGAGCAGAGGCTGACCCAGGTGAGGTTTTGATCTGATGCCGGGGAAACGAAAGGACCTTCCCCATCCCCAGTCCCATCACCACACTCTGCGTGGGATTTCTGACAAAAGCAAACCCAACCCAAGCATTTCCCATGGTGTCTGAGGTCTTCTGAAAGGCTGAAGACGTACGGTCTGCCGTGTGAAGCCAAGCTACACCGTGGCTGTGACCTTCATCAGTTCGGTGAATTTTTTTATCTCCAAAGAAATTTGGGGCTGGGCTGCAGGGGCTGCCCGCCAGCAGGTTTTTGCTGGCTGCTTCCCCCACCAGATGATTTGAGCCCCGCTCGGCTGACAGGGCGTGAATATAGGTCAGTTCAGCAACAGGGGCTCGGCCGCCGCGCCGCTCCGCACCCGGCTTTGTTTAATCTGGCGCCTTCCCAGCTTGCCTTAAATATTGCTCTATGCCTGGAGTTGGTGGAGCTTGGCAAGGCTGAGCCACAGTGGAGCGAGGCTTTACATTTTGTCTTCTTTTAGATGGGCGTAATGGGGATGAGTGGGGTTTAAAACCAGTAAAAGAACATTTTTGAGACATCAGGTGTGAGACTAGCGGCACACACACCAGCAGTTCAATTCTGCTATCAAAGACTGTTCAAGTATGCTAGAGTTTTAGGGTTTATTTATTAATGGTAGAAAAGCAGAAAGCTCAGGATGTTCTTTTGGAAGGGTGTGAGGCCCTGTGCCACCTGTGGATTTTGGGAGGGGTTGACACTGCATCCAAGGATTTGGTTTATCCATCCGTTGGGAGGCAAAGGGACTGGGCTGGTGCCGCACAGGCTGGATTCAGCTCTGGTTAGAAAAGGCAGCCTTGATTATCTTGCTGATGAATATAAACCTTTTTGGGTGTTAGCTAGCACCTTTTGATGTTTAGTATTTTTGAAATTTGGTTCTGAAAGAGGTACAGTTTGGAGCTTGTGTTCTTTTTCTCCCAAAAGAGAGGGAATTGTTTTTTTAAGGGCAGTCTTGGTCCAAAGTGCAAATTGTTTTTTAGCAGCAAGCGAAGGAGCTTTCTAGAGTAAAAAGGTTCTCGGTAGAACTATCGCTGCTTTCTGCAGTTACCCTGCGCTTAACAAAAGACTTGGGAGGGCTAACAAAGTTCATTAAAAGCAATTTGTTTACCTAAACAAAGCCTATGTGAAAATGCCGTGACTGAAGGGACCCAAAACCCTCTAATGATTTTGTGGGGAGGAAAGAAAAGTTTTTTTTCCGTCGTTGTTGTTTTTAATCCTTAGGTGTGACTCCCCTTCGCCCCTGGCTTCTCCAGCACTGTGCCCGTTTGTGTGTGCGTGCCTGTGTGGTTATCAGCCCAGATGTGGTCCCAGGACCCTGGGGGCAGCAGCCTTGCCTCGCCTGACGGCTCTGAAAGGGCTCGGCACAGCCAAAAAGATCCCGGCCATTTATTACCACTCTGGTTTTTTATTGTGTGCCTCTCGCGGGCTCCTCTGCCCAGACGACGCTGTGCCAGATAAGAGACTTTTCTCCTGTTTGGGAGCAGCTGTTGTACCCGGGGGTGTTCCTGCTGCCAGGGGCTGTGGGAGAGGACGCTGGCAGGCTGAGCAGAGCCGCTTGAGCTGGGATGCTCGCAGCTTTCCGCCCCCTCTGCTGGGGTCTCCCCACTTCTGCTCAGGGCAACCAAGGGAAAAGGGCCGGTACGCCCCAGCACGCCGTTACGAGCACAAATAGGGGTATGTGAGGGGCCAGAACATGCACGCTTCTATATGCACTGCTCTGTCGTGGTGGCGTACGAAATATCCGCCTCCGTTCCCCTTTCTGTAGGTGGTTCCTTCCCTTGCTGGCTGCCTCCTGGCTAGCCCTGTCTGCTGGGTATTTTGGGTCTCAGCTGCTTCCAGCAGCATGGTGCATAGGCGCAGCTTCAGCGAGGGTCGGGGAGCACTCGCTAAGGCCGAGGCTCTGGCAACCACCGCAGGGGGTGGCGAATTGTCAAGGGGAGACAATGACCAGCCTTTGGGGTGTGAGGATGGAGCCGTCTTTGGCTGGCATGTTCCCGACGCAGTTTCTTGCAAGACCAGGCTTCTTCTCCAGATGTTGGCTCTACATGTTATCAGCCAAAGCCAAGGAAGTGTTTCACCTTGCCCTTACTGCTCACCTTGGTGAACCTGAATCCTTCCCGGTTTTAACCGGCATGAATCAGTGTGAAAATCGGCCAAATCAATGTCAGAAGGTTTATGATGGCAAAGTGATAATTAGTGGCTGTTGTGTCTTTCGTTCTTGTGGGCGAAGGCCTCCCCACCCTGAGCTGTCAGGACAACCTGGCCCTGGCGTGTAAAAGTCATCGGTGCTGGTACACTAGAGTCAGGGTGGGTGGATGCTTAGGGTGTGAGTGCTGTGTCCACCAGGACTTCTGCAGCCCCTTGGGAGACCTGGTGGTGGGGACTTCCCATCTTCCTCAGGATCCCACAGCAGATGTCCGAGTCAGGGATTGGAGAGCTGTAAAGGGAAGATTGTAAATGTATGTGATACTTCTATTGGCTAACATGTATGCATTTAAATACCTTTTTGGCTGCAGGAACCAGCCTCTCATACCTAATGCTGTCATTTAAAGGAATAAATAGTAAGAGATGGGACTGAATTGGTTTTTAAGTATTACAAAGCTAGCCAAGATATAGATGCCCCCAAGACCTCTGGCAAAAATAAATTAAATTGTTTTTAATCTAGTGTATTAAGAGGATCAAAGGCAACCTATCTTTTAGGAGCCTTCTGCCTCTTTTTCCCCAGCCACCTGGGGAAAGCAAACCTTTCTTTAGGAATAAGTATTTATTTACGGTGCTGGGACACAGCTGTCTAGTCTTTCCGTCTTTGCCACCTCCAGTCAGTACTAGTACTTTATTGAGGGAGTTGTGTTTATTCTTTTCAGCCCGAAAATTTGTTTCAAGTTAGTGCTGTCCTTCCACATAGAGTCGGCTCACATCCTTCGTTATTATCTCTAACATGTGAAGCAATTAAGATCGTTCAGTATTCTGCAAGACAGGCAAAATCCGAAGACATTCCTCTCTCCTTCGAGCGACTTCTATGTTGTGCAAGTGGTTTCGCTCAGAGGCCACATGTTTCGGGAGGTTTTCTGACTTCCTTGCATGTTGGGCCAGCAAAATTTAAATCCTAAAGGTTGAGAGACACCTGCCTACGTGATCTTGCAAGTGTTGCCAGGTGTGGGGTGATCCTACCAGGCCATCTGAAGATGGAGGATGTCAACATGGTCTTGCAGGGTGTGATTTACAGCTGTCCTGCCTCAGGTGGGAGGTGCCAGGATCAACTGGAGCCAAGTGACCGAAAGGCTCCGTTCATTGCAGAATACAGGCAGGTGACTCAAAAACCTGAATGCTTCTTTTGCAATATCTTAAAAATTTCATTCTGTTGTAGGCGATTAGGTATATTCAGGTCAAACATACAACGGGCCATGTATTTTGTGCATCATTTTCCTATAGCAAAT